GGACCATGACCCAACTTAGAAGCGAATAGTTTTTAGACAGTCAAAGAAGAGACACAAAAGAACACTATACTCTCAGAATTTGAGACATAATTGGATCTGGAAGAGGTAACAGAGTAGGTCTTCTTTGTGAGGAAAATCTTATTTGATATGTAAACCATGTAGAAGGTCATGTATTTTAAAAGGCTAGCATTGAATACATGTGGTAAAAAAGTTTAAGCAGTATATTCCCTTCCGATATAACTCTTTAAGATAAAGAGAACTACATTTAATAGCATAAAAGTTTATAAGAATACATCCTTAAGGTTTAACTGATGACAATATAAATTGCTGAATAATTGTAAAAAATCCAACATGAAGACATTAAAAAATTTTATTCTAAGTATATTCTAAGACATAGTTTGAAGATAGTTCACTCACTGATCTTGTACAACTGCCACTGAAAATGATGTACTATTGATGGTGTCTACCAATCCATTCTCTCTTTGTTGGATCTCTAGTAATGAACAACCAATCAAATGTGCCTTTCGTCTGATATTAGGCCAGTGTGATACTAAAGGAAACAAGGAAACAGCAAATAATCTTTTTTTTTCAGGTCAACTGCATGCTTTCAGAAAATTGAATCATTTTTTTTAACAATTATACATTAAAAAAATTAAAGCTCCAAAAACATATGTATTTCAGAATTTTCTTATTTCTTTACAATGTAATTGTGAATGACAAATTAACTGTATAATTACTAACATAACAACTGAAGTAGCATGAATTAGGAACTTGCATGTTTTTATAGTTGTTAAGCACAAAGCTACACAATCTGTGCTGTGCCTATCACAGGTATCAAAACCCAGTCTTTAGCACTAAAAGTCTTCAGACCTAATGATGAGCCACTGGGGGCTATTTTCATGGTATGATTAAATCATATTTTTGTTGGTAGATGTTAGGCTTAGCAAAATTAACTAATTTATTTACTGTTAAGTAATTGTTGTATTGTTTGTGTTTGGTTTGTTTATCTCTAACTTCTAACATAATTATACCATGTCCTGTATAGAAATAAGCTTGTTCATAATTCCTTCATTTCAAGTTGTATAAGGCAGGTGATCATGTGTATGATTAGGCCACCTTCTTACTAATCTAGTTTATTCCTAACATTTCTTTGAGATAAGTTTCTCCTTTCTTTTCCTAACCAGTGTTTTCTTTTAATTTACAAATGAATAATGTTTCCCACTATCCTATATGCTTATTGGATGGACTACTTTTTTTCTGTAATAGTTTACCTTCCCCAGAGCAGCCCTACATGTAGGACGTTCATGTTGATAAAACTTCCTTGTGAGAGTTACTACTTTAGCTGTAGACTTTAGAGACCTTGTTCTATAGCTTTTCATGTTGCTGGAGATATAGAACTTGTTGATTTTTGACCATCATTGTGCCGTTGCTATATCATGAATTAAACTATATTTTAAATAAAACAGCTGTATAGTAACTTTTTGCCCCACCATGAGCTATAGACACACATACACATCAAACTGGTGGCCTCAGTAGAAGTAATTGTTGTACTTTCAAATTAGCTGGTGTAAATAACTCAATATCCAGTCTATTTAACTATATGAAATAAAGTTATTTCCCCTTTAAACATTTCTACAAGCTTGAAGTTAAACACTGCCATAAACTGTTTAAGCCTACAAATGATGTTATATCTCTCTAACAATGGTACTAAGACTAACGTATAAGTAATCCACTCGTACAAAGTATTGCAATAATTCTCGTTTATCTCAACTAACTTTATTATTTATAATCTATACTTGAAAGTGTTAGAACACCTTATGTCACATTCTTAAGTTTTCTAGAAGTTATAGGCCTATCTTCATTCCCAAACTTAACATAACCACTGATGACCTGCATCTCCCCTCTAGCTAACAAACAAATTACAACATTAAAAATATATATCTTACAGCATATCATTTTGGAATAACTGATATATTAAATTATATATTTAAGACACCACAGAAAACAACATACTTACTAAATGATTTGTCCATCGAACATTAACTATTTAGTAAAATTCAGGAAAGAACTGGAATTTCCACAGCTAATTTTTTATAATATATTTGACAGTTTAAATTTTGAATCAACAATAAATACCTTGTATGGATATCACACGCTTGAGTACATCCACTGCTACCTGGTGGGGATGTCGAACAATCTCTTCATCTGTCAACGAGCAGCTAGTTTCACCGAGAAGTGTTGCAACGCACATTTGTGAACAATCACAGATTGCTGGCAGGTCGTATCTGTTGGAATATTTTATTTTTCATACTTGAAATATCTCATGAACACTGGATTTTAAGAGCAACTTTAGTGAATATGTAAAGAAGAGAATCATTGTAATTTACTAACTCAATGAAGAAAAAAATATTCTTACTTGACTGAATGTTTCAGATTTAATATAGATTTAAAAATTAATAACAAAAGATAGATTATGAGGAAACATTTCTTACAATATAAAAATTAAAGTGAAAATATTTACTGAAACTTTAAAAATGTGTAATAGATACAGACCCTCCTTCCAAGGCCATTACTACTTTTCCTTTAGCTAACTGCATCAACTGTTTAGTAAGAAACCCAAAACCTGAAACAAAAGGAAAATCCAGGCATATTATAAAACAACCAAACAAGTTTTAATGTAAAAAAAAAAAGACATGAAATTCAAGTGACAGATACTCTACATGAAAACAATGAACATATTAAAATTATAGCCATGAGTTTAATCCTACTGAAGTGATTGAACAATTTAAGAACTTTGTCAATGCCCTTCATTCTACAGCCCCTGAAATTTATTTAGAAATAATCAATGATCATGAAAGGACACATGTCGGAGCATCTCGGTCAATGATCATGAAAGGACACATGTCGGAGCATCTCGGTCAATGATCATGAAAGGAAACATGACGGAGCATCTCAGTCAATGATCATGAAGGGACACATGTCAGAGCATCTCGGTCAATGATCATGAAAGGAAACATGTCGGAGCATCTCGGTCAATGATCATGAAGTGACACATGTCGGAGCATCTCGGTCAATGATCATGAAAGGAAACATGACGGAGCATCTCGGTCAATGATCATGAAAGGACACATGTCGGAGCATCTCGGTCAATGGTCATGAAGGGACACATAAAAGTATGTTGGAGCATCTTGAGACATTTCATATAATGCCTCAGCTTAACAATATTTTCTTCAGCAATGCATCGGTTTCTTTAACAAAATATTGCAAAATTTTCTTAAATTACACACCACATGTTTACATATATTGAAACAAATTATTTGTCATTTCAAGGAATTAAATTCTGACAGATAGAAAAATAACTACATATAAGTAGGTAAACATAAAGATGGTTTCTACAGGGACAATGTATTCTAAACCATTACTATACAGCTCCCCATGGTTTCTACAGAGACAATGTATGCTAAACCATTATTATACTTGGTCCCCCATAGTGGGGTAAAGTGTCTTTCTCGAGGAATCAACAACATGATGTGGGCCAGACTTGAATTCACAACCATTCAACAATGAGTCCAAAGTTTGATGTCATTGAGTCATGCTGCCCCCCACAACTGTATTAACTGAGTCATGCTGCCCCCCACACAACTGTATTATAAACAATATTAACTGAGTCATGCTGCCCCCCACAACTGTATTATAAACAATATTAACTGAGTCATGCTGCCCCCCACAACTGTATTATAAACAATAACAACTTTTGACCTCTGAGAACATATTGATTTTTGTTTACAAAATGTTACGTCGATGAAATAAGTTGATATATTAACTTTCCTGTTACTTACAAGCTGGAGAGATGTTATAGCCACCTAGTTGCGGGGGGTGGCCTTGTGCTGCATCAAATCCTGCTGCCACAAGAACTATCTCAGGGTCAAACTCTTGAGCGATGGGTATCACAATGGATCTATTACGAAAATAAAAAGTGTGTACGTTAGTTACTCTCGCATTCAGTTCTTTTCCCATACTCTATTTCTATGCACAGCTACTTTTTAAACAAGCTTATAAATATAATTTATTCCTTTATCTTTCCTGTTTAGCATAAAATTCATATTATTTTTTTTCACCCTAAAAAAACAGGTATCAAAATGTACGTTCATATAATGAGCCATGGAAAAACTTGTGCAAAATTTCTAAATACATCTCAGTAATACACCAATTCTAAGCAACCCAGTATGATTCGTATAAAAGTGTGCGATTACAATATTTGGTACCGATTATATCCCTTATATAATTTAGTACCATAAACTCAGAAACTTGTTTTTTTCCCCTTTTTTTATGCTTTTATTCATTAGTTTGTTCTTGTCTTCATTTAATTTAATGTTTTCATTATGTTCAATAGAAAAATAAATTTTTGGTCAGTTTGAGTTTTTTTTACTCTACTTCCATGATTAAATTGTTCACATACTGGAAAATCCTTTGATTTCATTAAAT